TACCTGTTCGATTTATCAACATAAATAATTACCCTGTGACGATTGGCAAAGGAACGAAGATTGGAACATGTGTCCCAGCAGCCTCCATAATCCACCAGGTGACAGCAACCACTGATGGGGCCGGCAAGTATGAAGAACTCGTCTCTGCTGCAAGCGACTCACTCAACAACCGACAGAAGAAGAAGTTAACCGAGTTACTGCAGAGGTATAGATCCATTTTCATACCTGCCGATGGAAAAACAGGTAGAACCAACATCATCAGTCACAAAATCGATACACCAGACCGATTCGTCAACCAGCCCGAAGATTACCACAGGCCAAGAGAGAAATTGCAGAAAAGATCATCCTGGATATGGAACAAGACGGGGTAATCGAGCCATCCAATAGTCCTTGGGCTTCACCAGTGGTACTAGTGAAGAAGAAAGATGGAAACACTCGTTTTTGCGTGGACTATCGCCGATTGAACAATGTGACGAAGAAGGACAGCTATCCTTTGCCTCGAATTGACGACACACTCGACACATTGGCGGAATCGAATCTTTTCTCCACACTGGATCTGAAAAGTGGATATTGGCAGGTGGAAATGGATCCGGCAGATAAGGAAAAGACAGCGTTCACCATCGGCACTGGATTATGGCAATTCAAGGTTATGCCTTTCGGACTCTGCAATGCTCCGGCCACCTTCGAACGAATCATGGAGAATGTGTTGAGGGGACTCTCCTGGAAGACATGTCTGGTTTATCTGGATGACATCATCGTGATCGGTAAAACTTTTGAAGGACATCTGGCTAACCTAGAGGAAGTTTTCAAAACACTTCAGGCTGCAAACCTCACACTCAATCTGAAGAAATGCCATCTGCTGCAGAAACGAGTTAACTATTTAGGACACATCGTAGGAAGGCAGGGTGTGGAAGTCGACCCTGAGAAGGTACGAGCAGTGAAGCAATGGCCAGTACCAAGAGATAAGCATCAACTCAGGAGCTTTCTTGGGCTCTGCACTTATTATCGACGTTACGTTCGAATGTTTTCGGATATCGCAAAGCCCCTGACTCGTCTCACCGAGGAAGCACGTCCCTTCCACTGGGATTCAGAATGCCAGGCCGCCTTTGATGCTCTGAAAGAACGCCTGACCACGACACCGAATCTCGGGTATCCACTTCCACAGGGACAATTCATTCTCGACACAGATGCCAGTAATATCGGCATTGGTGGAGTCCTTTCGCAGTATCAAGATGGGCAAGAGCGAGTCATCGGTTACTTCAGCAAGGTGCTATCGAAGGCAGAACGAAACTACTGCGTTACCAGGAGGGAACTATTGGCCATGGTAAAATCGGTGGAGCACTTCTATAAGTACCTCTATGGGCGAAAATTCCATCTCAGGACGGACCACGCTGCATTGAAGTGGCTCCTGAATTTCAAGAACCCCGAAGGCCAAGTAGCTCGTTGGATCGAGAGGCTCCAGGAATATGACTTCGAGATAACACACCGAGTGGGGACGAGCCATAAGAATGCAGATGCATTGTCCAGAAGGCCATGTCCACCTGAGTGCTCACATTGTAGTCGTTTGGAGGATAAGGAAGCAGCCCTTTACAGAACCACCGTTGTCAATGAAGATTGGTTACCTGCAGCAATCAAGCAAGAGCAAGAAAAGGACCCAGAACTTCGGAAGCTTCGAGAATGGAAGAAAGCGAATCGCCGTCCTTCTTGGCAAGAAGTAGCACCATCTTCACAGACTTTGAAGGCGTACTGGAGTCAGTGGGACTCCTTGGTATTAGAAGATGACCTGCTCAAGAGGAATCTCGAGAGCGATGATGGGTCGGATAATCGGATGCAGTTGGTCATTCCTAGGAGCCAAGTGTCGGAAGTACTTGGATATGTACATGATGGATCTTCAGGGGGACATCTAGGAGTGAGCGGTTCTACTGGGTGAACTGCAGTGACGACGTCAGGGAGTGGTGCCGTAAATGCACCGTGTGCTTTGCCAGCAATGGGCCTCATCGTAAACCAAGGGCACCCATGAGACAGTACAATGTTGGAAGCCCTTTCGAGAGGATTGCTATGGATATTGCGGGGCCGTTTCCAGTGACTGATAATGGAAATAAATACAGCCTTGTCTGCATGGACTACTTCACCAAGTGGGTGGAAGCGTATGCGATCCCTAACCAGGAAGCCGTAACTGTCGCCGATGTCCTAATGAATCAACTCATCAGTCGTTTTGGGGTGCCATTGGAACTTCACTCTGATCAGGGCCGGAACTTCGAGAGTGAAGTGTTTAAGAAGATGTGCGAGAAGTTAGGAATCAAGAAAACAAGAACAACTCCATTGCATCCACAGTCAGATGGCATGGTGGAGCGAATGAACCGAACCATAGGGAGGTATCTCTGCAAAGTCGTAGATCAACACCAACAAGACTGGGATCAACATCTTCCTTTCTTCTTGATGGCTTACAGATCTGCGGTACAGGAATCTACAGGGCAGACTCCGGCGAAGGTTTTATTTGGACGAGAGATGAGGCTTCCATGTGACTTGGTCTTCGGATGTAGACCTGGTGAGGACATAGTAGGGGAAGATTACGTTACGAATCTGATGAGAAAGATGAACGATATTCATGAATTGGTTCGTTCTAATCTGAAAATTGCCAGCGACCGCATGAAAGACCGGTACGACATCAGAGCTGGGGGTGCAGGATACGCAGAAGGAGACTTGGTGTGGTTGTACAATCCACAAAGGAAACGAGGTATTTGTCCAAAACTACAGAGATCTTGGGAAGGACCTTATACCGTCAAGAAGAAGATCAACGATGTCATATACCGCATCAGTAAAGAACCCAGTGGCAAACCAAGAGTCGTTCATTTCAACAGACTAGTACCATTCGAGGGAACACAAGATCAACAAGTTCAACAAATTTGTCCGGAAGAAAAGGAGCTTACATTCGACGAATTCATTGGGACATACAGTGGTTCATCAAAAGCAAGGTTTGGCGTCACCAAGGAACAGCACCGCGACCTTTTTGCCATTCCTGTAGAATACGCACTAGCTCACTGCGTCGCCGAGGATCTTCAGATGTCTCAAGGAATAGCGAACAAGTTCATGAGGAAGTTCGGGAAGTTAGAGGAGCTTCATCAACAAGGTCCCTCCGTCGGTCGAGTACTAGAAATAGAAGATATCAGCGCTGAAGGAAAAAGGTCTCTGTTTTATCTTATAACGAAAGGAAGATCTTCTGAGAAACCCACTTACAAGGACCTCTGGGAGACGCTAGTCGACTTGCGAAGCATCATACTGGAGAAGGACATACAGAAGATAGCTGTTCCAAAGCTGGGGTGTGGACTGGATGGCTTGAATTGGAGAATTGTAAGGAACATGCTAGAGGTTTTATTTAGATTCACCGGAGTTGAAATTCTGGTATGCTGCTGGAACTCCAAGGGAACTCCAAGAGAAAAGACAGTGCCATGCTATTTCTACCATACTGCACGTTGTAAAAATGAAAACAGTTGTCCCTATCTTCATAGTGATCAGAATGCATTCCAGGAGGAATGCGTTTTAAGGAGGGGGCAGTGTAATGATATTCCCCTTGGAGGGGCTTTAGAAAAATCAGCAGGAAGGCAGGAGTACAACGATCATCCTGTATCACGCATCCCAGATTGCTCTCCTACCTCCCAATGATTCCTACATGCACTAGCATATTTCCGAACACTCAATATATGCCGCGGTGACAGATAACGTCACAGAAGATTCTGGAATGTTCTGGAAACAATCGATGGAACAATTAGAGAGAGAGGTTTGTTCTAAAAAGCTTCTAGAACAAAAAGAAGGAGACGGAAAATCATTCCAGAAGGTTCTCGAACCAAAGCCTGTCTAGTTATCTCATATATAAACGGCCGAATAACTGCCGTGAATAGTCGAGCAGCGAGTGTCAGAGAGACAGTTATATACCGCGTGTTATAAATCGTTTTACATAAATAGTAGTTCTAAGTTCGTTATAAATTAGTGTTTCTATAGTTCAAATAAATCAGTTCGAAAATAAATAGTGTCCTGTTCGCTTCTGCACCCGAATAACGTAACAATATGTTAGAAATGTTCAATGTCACAACTCAAGATTCAAACATTCGTTTCATAAGTAATATTTCTAAGATTTTTTTCTGTACTCCCTCTACTCTATAAATGTGAACTAAATATCAAAATTTACTGTGTACAAAGAAGGCTCTGTGTATTTCTGGAATTTGGGCATTGTTTTTGAAAAAACTCATAATTTTATTGCATTTGTTAATCGATTTTTCCTAGTGCGGCATGAATTTGAATTGAGAAATTCCTCACCTGAAAACGATCTGCACAATGATCCAAACTGTCATTCATGGATGTTGAGGATGAGCTTTTCTCTTATGGAATTAGCGGTCTATACAAGGTGAATTTGAAATAAGTGTATAAAATCAGCACATCGATATGATATTGTTGTCCAACGAATATTCCCATGATAATGATATCATTATGATTATGATTATGTTTCCTAATTCTTCTGATTAACAGAAATTTCATTCCAAAAATTTACCTATAAACGAGAACAAAATTAAGCATGTCATTTCAAAACAATTTGAATGATTGTGAAATCCGCTTGATTGTGCCTTCCTCACGAAAATTTGAACAGAGGGGACGTCAGAATGGCTACAGTGTGGAACTTTGGGTGGAAAAAGGGGTATAACCTCAAATTTTATTTTGATGCCTATATTTTTTTATTGGTGCCACTCGATAGTATACGTCGAACTTACTCAAGGCATGAAATATTTGCACTTATTTCAATGCCACCCTGTATATTAGATAATGTCGGTGGCTCTCCCTAACTTTGAGTTTATGAGTTATAACGAGGTGCCATTTTTCCTCGGAATGATGGGCGACACATGCGTTATCTGTATACTTTAAATTATATTCTGTAAACATTGTGAATAAACTTTATTGCTATTATAAGTAGCCAATTCTGAAAATTGATATAGTTTTAATTTGACTAGATAAATTCTTCTCAACTCAATATAAGCTGTGGAGAGAATGCTGTATACGTTTATGAATTGATTGATATGGGAAGTCAGAGTGCATTATCTGCTGCTCTTTGTACAGAAGAAGCTTTACCTGTTAGTATCATCGAATCTAGAACAGGTGGGTACATAATTAATTCAAGTTATACGTTTTACGACCTATAAAATCCATCTATGCCTCAAATTATACTTTTTTTAAATTTATTTATTTCACATAATCAGATCCACAAGACAGAGAGCTTGTACAGGATCCCATTATCCATTGATGAGTATCATACTGTTTTCAAAAGTAATACATTGACTTAATAAGTAACTGAATGATTGCCCTAGAACCTAGTACATGATAAAAAATAGATAAGCATATAAAAAAATATGACGAAATAATACACATAAAACATGTCCCTATTACAACACAAACTGTCTAATCAGGTCGTAATTAAGAATGAAACCAAACAACTGCTTGCTGAACGATTTCATACTATCATTATTTCTTAGTTCAGTTGGAATGTTATCATAATGCTTTGCAAGTTATTGAGCTTTGAGTTCTGGTAGATTTGAATCTATTTGACCGTAAATTGTTTACCGCTCTTGTTAAGTAATTGTGAAACTCGTTATCAGGAATAAATTTAATTGTTGTTTCCATGTAGTTAGTATTTATTTTATGAATAGTTTCTGTTGATTCAAATTTAATAGCTTTAGCCAAATTTAGTAACCCGGTTTCCTTGGATTTATGCAATATAATACTTTTATTGCCTTATTCTGTGCTATCTGCAAATATTTTTTGTCACTGACATTCAAATCATTTCCCCATTCACTTAAAAGATGAAATATGAGAATAAATGAAAGAGTAGTATAGACGTTTTTGTATTATATCATTGAGTAGTTCTGAGACGAATTCAAAGCATCGACTTTTGATGATGAAGATGAAAGTAAAAATTCAATTAATTCGAATTGAGTTAGTTTCAAATGTTATAATTTTTCTTTCATGTATGCAGATTATCCAGTATATGCTTCAATTTTATGTGCTTTATTTTTGTGTACATTTTAGGTCAACTAACCGTTCATTATAAACAAGGACTACTGGGAGAAAATTTTAGCGCCGTCTACAAAGTGATTAGCTGTGACGACTGTCGTCCACCTCGCGAATGCCGCAATGGCCAGTGTGTTTGCAAGGACGGTTTGGTGGGATTCAATTGTGATGAAGTGATTTGTCCGGAGAACTGTAGTCACGATAACGGGCAGGGTTCTTGTGATAAATCGTATGGTAGATGCCTTTGTGCCGAAGGTTGGGCAGGCCCATCATGTAATACAAGGTATGTACCAATAGTCCAAGAGCCGGCCGCAAATTTTGACCGTGAGTCAATAATGAAATGACATATTATGTCCTGCTCTCGATGGGCACTATAAGTGTATGAAAGGCAACAATCAGTTACAGCCTGGAGAACCAACAACCTAGTTGAATTCAACGCCACCAGAACTTGAGCCTGTATATTTTCTAGAAAGGTGGAACTCAGTATGTCTGATATTAAGAATGTCTGATACCACCATTCCCACCAAGTCCACTATATCTATGCTCGGTATTTCCATCAGCAATACTCTCATGGGAAAATCTTTTCCGATCCATCGCGAAAGCTGATTCACAAAAACTCGGTTATTTTGTGCCAGAATCTACAGATACGGCCAGGTTTAAAATACTGTTCTCACATATGGGGTTCAGCAATCATATGTTGATACTCTTAGATTCCATCCAGGGAAGAGTCATTCGCCTGGTGTTTGATGCAACACTTACTAATTCTTTGATCTGAAAATTGTATCAGTGGAAAAGGATTTGGTGAAGAATCGGATAAACATTCAGTGGAGTCGCACTTTTCCATATTGGAATTAATATTCCAATGGAATTGGTTTGAAACACATCTAAAAAGGAAAAGTCAAAGGCAGGAGAATGGAGGAAATAAGTAGATGGTGTACTTACTGATATGCTTTTGTTTCAGAAATTCTTCTCGACCTCTGGCGAACAATGGTTTCAGCGGGCTTATAATAGATGGCGACATTGCACAATTATGACATCTTTCAATTTTGAAATTGCCGCAGATTTTTCGAATTTCGAGTAAAATGAACGCACTTTTACATGATGTTCCGCGAACCTAAAATGCCACTTTCCATTTTATCTTCACTCCTCACACTCGTCACAGCATCAATAGCAGCATCTTCATCTAGCGGAGAAAAGTAAATTCAGCGTCTCGCTCGATGTGACGTAGAAAAATCATAGTAAGCGGTCGAGTGATTTTTCTAAATTTTTCAATACGTAAGAATGGCCGAGTACGCGCACCATCTACTAATTTCCATCATTGTCGCGAGTGATAAAAATTTGAAGTACTTCAGTTAAAAATAATTAAACCAAATAAAAAACAAACCAGTGAGAAGACCACAGAAGAAGTTCATAAGAAAATCAATCCAATCAAAGCAAAAGCTTCAATAAAGAGTGTAAGAGAAATTAAAAATGGTGGCATAATCATCAACTAGTAAAAATTAAGGAATAGGAAGAATGATTGATGATTATTCGGCACAAAAATGAATCACCCTAGAATGGTATTTATAGGTCGTCAAAAAGAATAGACGGATGAAGAACTTTTGGATGAATTACGAGTCCTAAGACAAATTGATGCTGATGATGAATTATACATATGATGTACAAGACGATCCAAATTTTCGAAAAAATACATTTCGTATGTAGAAACATCGGGACGAATTTTCAAGAAATTAGGGGATGAAGAAATCTGTTTTGGCTAGAATTTATGTAGTATAAAAGAAGATATCAATATAAGGTCAATCATATCAAAGTTTGTGCATTTTGTGCTGGTGACCATTACCTTAGAAATTGTGATAGATTAATTATTCCATGTTGTATAAATTACAAATTAGCGCAAACTAAACATGGGAAGACAGGAGACTATACACATGAAGCCAATACTAATGTCCTATTTACTTAAACAGAATCAGAATCGCTACAGAACAAATCGATTATATCAATTAATAATAATCCAACAAATAAAATGAAAGCGACAAATAGTGAAATAAAAATATGGTATATAAATGCAAGATCCATGAAGACGAAGATGGATGGATGAACTTGAAACGATAGCATTTGAAGAAAAAGTAGACACGCTTTGCAACACTGACATTTCAGAATTGTCATCATTCTCAGATTTGAAAATGTTTCCGAATATGCCTTGTTCGGTAACGAATTCCTAAAATTCTAAGAATGATGATTACCATTTATATTTGAGTATCCCAAAGACGACAAGACATTTCAAGTGTTCGTTAATGCTTCAAATTCCAATGTCCATTTCATAGAAATACATTCAATGATGTTATATTGATATAACCACAAAATTACCTTTATGTGCCATTGGTGTTCCGCCACTGTTAGGGTTTCTAATGATAATATGTCTGCACTCGTTTAATGAATTGATACAGAAAAATGACATTCCATTTCTTATAAAACATATTTTTCTCATGTTTTTTGTTCAGCTGTTCAACAATATGATGCTCCGGTGTATTGAATAATTTCTTTTTTCCAGAGAAACCAATTCTCAACTAATATTCACCGAATTGTTCAACACTGTGAGGCTAGCAGATAGTTTAGAACACTTCCGAAAAACTCTGCCTCGTTTTGGTCACTCACTTGTCTCTGATCGCAGAGGCTCCCTCTGGATGTTTGGTGGCTACTCTCTATCACACGGACCTCTAAACGACATCCGACTCTTCGACACTAAAAATTTAACATGGATGCAAGTGACTGTAGAATCTACGCCGGACGCGAAGATGCCTACAGGGAGATATTTCCATGGGTCTGACATAGTCCATACCCAAACAATTTATGTATACGGAGGTCTGACTAAAAAATTGAAAAGTTTCACTAATAGGACCTTGGATGACTTTTGGCATTTTGACATTCAAAATCAAAGATGGAACGAGATAGAAAAGAGGGATATGTGGCCTCCTGCCGTATCAGGGCATACTCTAACTTATCACAAAAGTCAAGATAGTTTGGTTCTTATTGGTGGTGTTTCGCCACAAAGTGGTTTTCTGAACATGGTCTGGGAGTATAAGTTAGAGAAAGAGCAGTGGCATATTTTGAATACCAGGGGATCTGGACCATCTGGTATTTATGGACATACGACTGTTTACCATGCGCAGAGTAACAATATTTATGTGTTCGGTGGAATTGTTTACCATAAACAGCAAGCTACTGTTTCTGGAGACCTGTACATGTTGAATTTCGAAAATAAGACCTGGATTCAATTGAATAATCTTGGACCTGCTGCTCATTGGGTAAGTAGAAAAAAATCGAACATAAAATATGAAGCGTTTTATATTGTCCTGTTGTCTTTTCAGGCGATTTGAGTCATTACATTATGCTTGTTACCATTGCAGGAAAATGGAAATAGTAATTTTCCTAACAAGTGCGGAAAGTGTTTCTTTCCCGCACGCGACTGCCGTTGACACGAACGACGCGAAGTGGAGTTCGGGCAAGCAGTCGAGTGCGGGAAAGACACTTTCCGCAGGATTGGCGACAATTGGACGTGGTCAATTGGACGCGGATAATTGGACGCGGCGACAATTGGACGCGGCGACAATTGGACGCGGCGACAATTGGACGCGACGAAAATTGGACGCGACGAAAATTGGACGCGGCGACAATTGAGCGCATGCGAAAATAAAAATAATTTTATAATTCCAATGAAATTTATTGCATGGAATATGCAGGGCTCATATCTATAATATAACACCTAACCTAACCTAACCTAACCCAACCCTCATATTTGATTAAATAATCAGTGTTATAATTATGGATATAAGCCCATCAGTATTTCATATTTTATACAATGAATTTCATTGGAATTATAAAATTATTTTTATTTACGCATGCGTCCAATTGTCGCCGCGTCGAATTGTCGCCGCGTCGAATTGTCGCCGCGTCTAATTGACGCTGCGTCTAATTGTCGCCGCGTCCAATTGTCGCCGCGTCCAATTGTCGCCGCGTCCAATTGTCGCCGCGTCCAATTGACTGCGACCAATAGTCGTGCGTCCAATTTTCCACGTCCAATTGACGCGACACCCTTTCCGCATGAGTTAGGAACAATATTTTTTTTACAAGCGTAGGAAATTGATTGATTTGTTTAATTAATTATTCATTCATATAGGAACAACTAACAAGAGAGAGAAATATATTCTATATCTACTGATTATTAGTAATAGCTATTGTGAACTTACAGGTTGGCGCATTATGTATAGGTTCATTGCGGAAGCCAGCAGGCCCATAAGGTGTTTGGTCTCTAGGTTTCAGATACTTCTAGGGAATGAGCCAAAAAAACTTCTTTATTCGGTTTTTTCATTTCTTCATTGTTGCACCATTCAATAAAACGCGTGTATAGCTTCTCATACCTTTCTTAAGACTTCGTTGGCAATAACGCATCTGTATCGCATCCCTATAGCTGGAAGTTTTTGATCACATTGTGGCAACCCACTGAATCTGTCACTTAGACAATTACAAACTCATTCGAGGTTTGATTGGCATGACAACAATAATCGTTTCTCATCAGATCAATCCAAATCTATTGGGGGATTTTTTTAATAATCAATTTTTATTTTTCAATATTTCTTAATTATCACAATAAATTGTGCAATTTGATGGATGATTCTGAACATACATACTTAATACTGCAACAAACAAACGCAAACTCTCATATTCCATCACCTACTACTTATATCTTTCCATATTATCATATCTATGTTTTTCCCGCACTAAAGTGGGAAAAATTTTCCCGCAATGTTGCGGGAAAATGACGCTTTCCAAACTAAATTGCGTGCGGTTGAATCACGCACGCTTGTAGAAAAAATTAGTTACAACACTTCTTTCGAAAAAACTCTGGCGCAATGATGTATAGCGACAACTTCCCCATTGAATACTGTTGCCTATTTGTCTAAACTCAGTGAAATCTGACTTGGCCTCATTCACCTATCTCAGCAGTCAGCAGTGATCACCCTTAGAATTTTCACAAAACTATCTATCTGGATTTAGGATAGTAGGCCAATAGTTCATTATATCTCATGAAGCTAATAAGAAAATTGTAATTGGACTCATTATGAACATTGAACTATTTGAGATTCCTACATTCAACAAAGTCATTATAAAATAACTCATTTGATCTATCTCCTTTTCAAAGACTGTTGATACATGCCTGATTTGTCAAGATTAGTATTATTGAATTTCAATAAATATCTCAGGTTGAGTCATATAAACACTAATTTTTGTTAACTGTATTTTTTAGCCCCGTCCAAGATATTTTCATTCAGCTGTTACTACAGAAGACTACATGATGGTTATGGGAGGAAGAATATATCCTTGGAATATAAGTGATACCTTGTATACATTTTCCTACAACTGCAATCAATGGCTAAACTTGATGTCAGACGGTAAGATACATTTAATAATTTAATAAGGCTATATTATTTATTTTATTCAGCGATACATTATCTTATTTTCAGATGTTGAAAAAATAGGACCGTTCCCAACTCAAACTTACGCTCAAGCTATGACAATTGAGCCAGATGGAGATGCCATCTATGCCATTGGTGGTTGGGGAATTGATACTCAGAGTACCGTTTTGAGGCTCGAACTGCCGATGGACCTATGTAACCTCTTGCCAAAAAGAAGTAGTTGCCTGTATATGTCGGGCTGTGGATATTGTGCCAATCGAAGAAATGATGATATCATTCTGGAGACGTGTCATAGTAATAATAAGGATTGTCCTTTAGAAACAATCTCGAATGGTGAGTATTTTCATTATCTCGGCATTACTTAATGGAAGTCCATTGAAACTAACTAAAATTCATAAGCATAGGGACCATTATTGGCATATTCCAAATTATTGACTGTCAACAAATATCTCATGAAGAGGCGGTTTTTAAATTACTACACTATTGAATACAGGTTTTCTGAGTACATAGAGAAAATTGTGTGGTGTCTTCAACCTGTTCTGAAAGAAGTTACTACAATAATATGCCATTGAAACTTGAATATGATGTATTTATGATGAAGGACTATAATTTTCAAGTGAAGTGAACAACAACTTTATCATTTTGATCAATCTAACTCAAATGCGCTAAAAGACCATCATACATGAACCACTTCCATTCGTACATTGTTTCAACGCAATAGTGATTTTCTGCAGTAAACCCATAGTAAAGTGGTGATGAATGATGAGAAACGTACTTTTATTCCTTCTCATTCTTCAACTTATTCAACGGTTCGTGGCCTACTTCAGGAAACGAAATGCTTACCAAAAATTTTTGATTAGTAACTCATATAAGAAAAACAACTGCTACTGAAACTGTGACTGTTTGCGTGAGGTTTTTTGTCACAAAAAAATTACTCATAAACGGAATTTCCAACGAATTTGACGTGCAAAAAAATTACTTATCAACGGAATCTCCAACTAATTCAACGTAAAATGATTGATAGACAGAATATGAGATGAATTAGAACAAACAACCAGAATGATTTTGGCCATGGTGGTACCCTGGAATAACTCATATTGCTATCCACTGGATCAGTTATGCTATGGATTCATTGGACACAACAGAATCATAATGTTGATGAACTGGAGCCGTACCACGCAGACGCACTTTTTCGCGTTTGATTTGTCAAAAATTCGCCAATGCTTCAACGCATGTAGATTCTGGTTTTTTACAAGAAAATGAGTCAACAATCAACATTGGTCATTGATACCTATTTTTGATATCCGATCGCATGTTGTGTATTGATAACTTGGACAAGCTTACTATTTTGACAGTTGTACAATATCGACCATTTGAAGTAAACCATTATGAAAACTGTATAGACTGCTATAAAAAATGAAAAAATCAACATTCGCTTGAAGATGCTAACATAGCGGGACACGTGTGAAAACTTTGAAAAATTGATTCGAATAGTGGTTGAAACAGGTTAGTGTAATTCCAATACATAATTGTCTTTTTTTTTTCGTTTTAGCATCTCTCATAACGAACATTGGCCAAAAATGTGATATGTATAGTTTTTATCAGAGTTCTAACTGCTCAGCCGTCCAAGAATGCACTGCTTGTCTACAAAGCGGTTGTTACTGGTGCCAAGGAATATGTACAACCAATAACAGCACCTGTGAGAGTTCTTCAGGGAAATGCCCCTATAATAAGTGTGTCGCCACTGATTGTGTGCAGTGCCATCAGATTTCGGGTTGTGATTGGAACTATGCCACCAAAGAATGCATACCAGGTGAGTCGATATTTATTTCAACATATAGCGAATTCCCTTGACAGGAACTGGTGGGGTGTTTCTCCACTGAGTGTATATTCACCTCTGTTTAACACATGCGAGTAAGAAGGAAACACGTACATTGAATATTATAGTAAACAGGGAGGTGTGAAACTCGTCGCTGATGCTATAAAAATGTCCCAACCTTTTTTTGTTTCAAGGTTCATCTCATTTCTTCTACCAAAATATGATTCTCCAAACAATTTTTTATGAATATGGTATTCTTGTTAGAATGCTGTTAAACGAACCGTTTAAGAGAAAAGTATAATTTTTCATTTTGATGCCCGAAAAAATTCATAATCATTTTGAGCGCGTGAGCTCTTATGATGAAAGACTTAGAACTTGATAATTAAAATTTTATTAGAGTTCATCATGATGTTGATTTGTTAAAAAAATATCTCTCTAGCTCTAGGGCTCTGGCGCCCTTAGGAAGGATCTTCGGACATATGTTGAAAAAAACTTTTTTTCTTATTCTCCATTTGCAGAATCACTTTCCCTGAGTATACGAACGTTATTCTGTAAGTATGTAAGTTAACTCAGGAATTCCATGTGGAAATTACTTATGATACGTCAATGTCCTCAATATATCAAACAACAAATATCATAATATATCAAAGTTTATCCACAGAATTGAATAAGGATGGAACTATATAACTATTTCACAAACATTCTAGAGTGAGAGGAGACGAGGATCTCTCTACCCTGATAAGATGACAAATACGTCAATTCGCATCAAACGACAACGACTATTTGACCGAGTTTCAGAATTTTCTGCGAATGAGGTCTAACATTTTCAGTTTCACCATTTGGCGTTACTAGAGCGTGAGGGCTATGTCAAAGTCAAAAATCCCATAATTTTGCTGGATAGCCCTGAAAGATAGGGCCTATTTTTCGAAAATGTTATGAAGAAATGATGAAGGTGATGATACAAGAGCTCAAGTTATGATTGAAATTGATCAGTCTTGCTGCAACTTTACACGTAGTATTTACATTAACAGAGAATAATATATCGTAGGAAGAAGCCAAATGAAACGAAACGAAGAAGTATCCCTGTCAGTTCTATCAATCGTGACCTCAGATCTCAGTAGCGCGATCTGGTGGACAATGAAATATGTTAGCCCTTATCGTCGCTGAACAACATTGTTCCCCAATCTTGTGATGTACAGTCGTATTCAATAAAAAAGCGTACAGGTATTAAAACAAGAGGATTTCGGGATCCTAGTTCTAGTTGTGTAAAACTGGCTCAGCCAATGCTTTTGTGTTTTTGAGAAACTATGACAACTTTGATATCAATATTTGGTAAACAATCATTTCCGATAGCCCGTTTTATGCAGAATAGGATGATGTTAATTTCTCTCTGTAATATACTTGTACGCTGTTGTTTGTAATGCGACTGTACCACTGGACTATTGGACCTATAGTGGGGTCAACTCAGAGTTTTGCAAATTATTTTACTTTTTGAATTTATAAAATTCTGCACCTATTATACCATGGGTATTATTTCTAAACTGTTGTTTGTAAGCTATGTATTCTTGTATCAAGAACACGAATTTTATAATTGAAATTTCATCTCCTTTTTCCGTCTGTCTAGGATACGCATCCACAGCAACTTTCTCTTCTTATTTTGTCATTGGATATTTCATATACAGTGTGTTACAATTTGGTCCACCCCACTCCTGTACTTTCGTATTTCTAGGGCGATTTGGAAATATTTTTTTCTTATGATATATCACTCAAAATTATCTACTTTGTCGAGCATAAGAACATTAATAATCACAATTTCTCAGCCTACTGCGATCACAAAAACTCCAGCAAAACACTACCCAACGACCCAAAACTCTTTACATAGTGAATGGATTTTCAATGTTCCGCATGAAAAAAATGTGAATATTTTATCAGTTATTATCAACATATTGAAGTTGAATAATATATTTGAGTACCCTAATATCAGGAAATACAAAAATTTTAAACAATTATTGACGTACGTACATCCAACCACTGTTTCCTCAACTGCAGTTTATATATCATTTTCACTTAATGTGTCTAGACTCAAGTGAATTCTCTCCATGAGTTATGAGTGGCTATTGACGTTATTGAAAAAAACTTCATAATCCCCACCAATTCAATTCAATTCAATTCAATTTTCTTTATTTCCAATCAGACTTATACATACATAAGTATAGGATATTGTCAGGTCAATTTTGAATAATATATAATAATATAATATCTAAAAATGTATAAAAAAACAGTGTATAGAAACAAAAATAAAACATGTATAAAGAAGTATAAATAAAAGGCAGTATACAGAAGTGTACATAGTATAGGTGGTTATACCAGGTTACAACACATATATTCCGGAACCGAATAGAAAACTCCGTTTACTAAAAGTTTTCGAACTTCATATTTGAATTTGTTCACATTCGATAATATTTTAAGCCTAGTGGGTAAGTGGTTGTATAATTTGATCGGCAAAACCAACGGACTGTTAGCCACAGTTGACAAACGATGGTATGGTATATTGATATTGAAGTTTTGCCTTAAGTTGTGTTCAATATAAATGAAGAGAGAGGGGAACGTTAAGAGCTCAAGTTGTTTAAACAACTGTCGACAGGAAAACGTCCTGGGTTTGAACATCATATTACGAACAATCTTTTTTTGTTGAATGAAAACTTCATTCGACCTTGAACTGTTGCCCCAGGCTAGAACCCCATTATTCATGGTTGAATAAATATATGAATAATAGTACAATTTCAAGAGATTGTGATCTATTCTTGATCGAAGTTGCCAGATTACAAAACAATGTCTCGCTAATCTTTTTAGAACGTTATCGATTTGATACGTCCATGAAAGTTTAGAGTCTATTAAAACTCCTAAGAATTTTACTACTTGCTTTTGTTCGATACATTCATCATGTAATTTTATTATCAAACTTTTATTTAAATCCTTCAACGAGAACATGATTAATTCAGTCTTGCTTTGATTCAATATAAGGTTGTTCTTTTGACAATAATTATTGATATAATTTGCGGCCTCAGTGCATGTTGTTCAGATTTGCTAGTGATTCACCTGAGCAGGCAACAGAAGTGTCATCTGCGTATAACGATATGTGAGTTCCAGACATGTTCTTGTATGTTATATCATTAACGAAAATTATAAATAAAAGAGGCCCCAGCAAACTCCCTTGAGGGACGCCACTGTTTACCGCTTCTGCTTCAGAGTAATACGAAATATCGTTAAGTCGTAATCTAACACGTTGCGTACGATTCGACAGAAACCCTTCAAGCCACTGTAAGGCATTTCCTCGTATCCCATAGTTTTCTAACTTTTGAAGCAGGAGTTCTATGTTGATTACTTCGAATACTCTCTGTAAATCGAAAAAAAGACAGGCTGCAAACCTACTTTTATCCAAGTTTTGAAGAACTTCATTATACAATGCTATGATTGCCTGATTGGTGGACATTCCCCTTCTAAAACCGAATTGAAAGGGACTGAAAAATTTATTATTATCAAGAAATGCCACCAGTCTCTGATAGAATGCTTTTTCGAAAACTTTGGAGAATACTGATAACATGGCCACCCCCCTATAATTAGAAATATCGTGAACGTCCCCTTTTTTATGAATTGGTTGAATGATTGCCATTTTCAAAATGTCAGGGAAACTTCCTTCCAAAAATGAATCATTAATTAACTGAGTAAGAGGTCCAGTGACATAAGTTGCCACATGTTTTAATAAAGAGCATGGTATATTGTAGAAACCGGTGGAATTTTTTCTTGTTACTGATATTATAATGTGATATACCTCCTCCTCTGTGTATGGTGCTAAAAAAAGTGATTGTACATTTATTCTAGAATTCGACATGTTCCGGAGTTGTGGCACCAAATATTATTCAGCAGAAAATTAATGACTTACCTTGGAAATAACCACGTTGAAAACAACCTATTTACTGTTCAAAAAGTCATGCTCGGTGATGATATTCGGTAGTTTTGAGATTGGAAACTATCAATAAATGCATTTAGTGGCCCCTATTCTCTTCAATATGATGTTTGATTTATGTTTTCATTGTAACTCATTCGAAAATAAGAAGTGCCTATGCATTTTGTTCCATTTCACCACAAGAAATGTGCTCCCGAACTAACACCTGTTCTCTGCAAGTTGTTCGACTACTCTTACAAATTGGGGATATTTCCGTCCAACTGGAAAATTGCAAGAGTACAACCAGTTACTAAAAAAGGCAAAAAGACCCTACCTAGCAACTACAGACCGATCGCACTGCTATCTATTATTTCAAAGATCATGGAGAAAGCTATCAACACCGAGCTCATGAAATACCTGGAACATTCAGGTATTATCAACGATAGGCAATATGGCTTCCGTCATCAGAGATCAACTGGTGACCTGCTCGCTTACATCTCACATATATGGCAGCAATCTATTGAAAAATATGGTGAAACCTTAGCCGTGGCACTTGATATCTCCAAGGCATTCGATCGAGTCTGGCACCACGGACTCCTCGCCAAGCTTCCATATTATAGCTTGCCTCTCCAGCTATGTTATCTGCTAGCTAGTTTTCTCTCAAACAAGTCTCTCCATGTAGTTGTCGACGGAGTTTCATCTGACTCTCTTATCATAAATGCTGGTGTTTCGCAAGGATCAATCCTTGCACAAACACTATTTCTACTCCATATCAACGATTTGTTGGAAGCAACTCCATGTGCAGAACACAGCTCCGCGGATGATAGTACCCTCCATACCGCCTTCTCTTCCAGGGCTCCAATACCAGCCAGGCAAATCAGAAACGAAAGAGGAAGAAATGTTGACAACATAAATATGGACTTGGCAACAATTCTTGAATGGGGATCCAATAACTTGGTAGATTTCAATGCAAACAAAACACAAGCATGCCTTTTCTATAGAAAAGCCGATCTCAATGTGCCCAACATAAGCTTGTCAGGACTCAGGAGTAACCATACCTTTGAAGACATCCATTTCGATGCTTGGTATAATTACTATCAGCAATAACCTTTCTTGGGAAAATCACGTGAGATCAATTGCTAAAAGTGCATACAAAAAACTTGGTTTTCTGTTTCGCGCCAGGAGCTATTTCACTTCCAGTCAGCTGCTTATGATCTATAAGGCACAGATCCGACCTGTCCTGGAATACTGTTCCCATATTTGGAGTGTAGCACCCAAACATACCCTGAAACTGTTGGATTCTGTAAAGAAAAGGGCAATTCGTCTCGTGGATGATGCCTCGCTCACAAACTCACTTCTCTGGAACACCGTAGAAAAGTTGGCGATCTGGCTCTATTTTATAGATATGGACGATGCTCTTCTGAAATATTAACAATTGTTCCTCATTTGGCAGTACCCGCGAGATTAACCCGTCGAGTTGAGGCTTCGCACCCCTTTGTGGTCGCTTTGGAGACTTGCAGAATATCTCTTTCCGAAGACTCGTTCATCCAACGAACAGCGAGGCTCTGGAACACATTGCCAAGGGAGGTGTTTCCCGAGGCACATAACCTCCAGGAATTTAAGAAGAACACCAATTCCTACCTTATTTCCCTTAGTTCTCACGATGTTCTCTGAACATTACAGGATATTCCTTTTCGTGGGAACCAGAACATAAAAAGAAATGTCGTAAATGTCACAAATTTTGGTATGTCTTAAATTAGGTCGTGAATGTATAATTCCTGACAACCCCAACACTAATTGTCATTTCTATCTTGTCTAGTATCCCAAGCGCAAGAACCGAACTCGGCCACTGTCTTCCCCAGGCTGGTCCACTCTTTTCGACTAGTGCCTCTCGTTCGCCTACCGCAACCTCATATATCATTTCCACTTTGTGTTCTCAGACTTGAGTGCATTCTTTTCTAGAGTTATCAGTAACTAATCATCTTTAGAAAACTTCATAATCTCCACCAATTTCTCAATTGGCCTTGTCAAAATATCCAGCCAACCTCAAACTTGGGGTTACGTCTTCTCATCTACTAGTTTTCGTTCTTTCAGAAGTTTATGAACCGAAATAAACCGTATTACTTGATGACTTCATAACTTACACTAGAAAATGTTTGATTTCGAATCGTTTTGTATACGGTTCAACAAGAAAAACGACAGTTTACTACATTTTATACGAATGTCATACGTAACGGTAACGTCAGGCTCTAATTATATTTTTCGTATTCAGTAACCCAAGCGCAAGAACCCAACTCGGTCGCCGTCTGCCCCCAGCCGTGCATCGACTACTCGAGCTGCGGCTCCTGCCTCGAGGCCGCCGCCGACTGCCGCTGGTCCACGCAGCTCGACGAGTGCCTCTCGTCCGCCTACCGCGACCTCTACTGCGCCGGCGGCGTGTGCGGCCTGGTGTTGCGCGCAGACGACCGGCGGCACTGTCCCGAGCCGTGCGGCTCGTTCGCGCAGTGTTCGAGCTGCCTGAGCCGCGCGCACTGCGGCTGGTGCGCCGCGCCCGGGTGGGAGGGGGAGGGGGTGTGTGCGGAGGGGTCGAGCGAGCGGCCGGCGGCAGGGACGTGCCGGGAGGTGTATTTCGAGAGTAGTGGGAAGCTGCTGGTGAGTACGATCACATGAGATATACCTCAAAGGAACAGAAGCGAATCTCTTGTCGGCACCTTTGATGTTTTGGATGTAGAATAATTGAACAGAGCGGCCATTTTGGGGATTGTACATAACGCGGGAAATTCAAACATACTGCATATTTCTCAAATTCGAATCCTAAGGATTAAAAATGAACATGAAATGAAATCTCTATAGATCTTCGAGTTGATGAATACTCTGAACACGGAATAGTATATTACGTAACAAGAGTTGTAAGTAACCCATTACGCACGAAATGAAAAAAATTATGCACCCAGCCGCGCAGTGCGTAATGAGTTTACAACTCGTGTGATGTACTAAACTTTTTCTACTCCCATTCATTTCCTTCCACTAAATAAAAAACATCGCAATCATTTAAACTTTATTATAATAGTTGTTAATAACAGCACTTTATCAAGACTCCTTCATCCATAGAACGGCTAGGCTCTGGAATTCATTGCCTGTGGAAGTATTCCCAACAACATATAATCTCCAAAAGTTCAAAAAAAATCCAATACCTACCTCCTGTCCCTATCCTCCCTAGGAACGCACGATGTTCTTTGAACATTATAGGGATTCCCTTTCGTGCGCTCCAAGCGATAAAAAAAAAACAATTGAATAAATATTGTAAATCGATTGTGCCTTATTATTCAATGGTGTTGACCGGTTATTTATAATTGTAGTACTGCTCGGTACATCAGAAGACGAAGATTGATAATTAGCGGTAACAAATTATGTGTGGCAGCTTGAGCTTTTTCTAAAATCTCTGGTGGAGTGCTCATAATTTCATCACTTTCACTACTATCAGACATATTCGTAGATGAAGTTGAGAAAATGTTTGGATACAATTATATTTCGTTCAAGAAATTGCCAATATAAATGACATGACATTTATTTTCATAGCATGCTACAAGAAATTGCATAACGTGCTGTCTACATTTGGGGGCATCACTCTTTCAATCCTAAATATATCTCGCTAATGCTGAAAGTTTTCATGTTTTTTAATTGACTAAATTTGTGTAAATAGACCAAATGAAGTCTTACGTGAATGAAAATTTGATTGTAATTTAATTAAACCAAGAAGTTTAAGTTTTCTTCTCAAAACGCACGTGTATGTTATGAGATCTCAATACGTGCATGTTATTGTTAAATGTCATTCACAAGTAATGTTGACAGAGCGATTCTTGACATTTACAGACATGGGAGTAGAAAAAAAAAAACTTGAATAAATATATTACATTAGGAAGGCAATTATATCAGATTTTCATGAATACTTTTGTTAAAACACCATTGGCAAGTAAAGAACAATCTTTCATCAATTTCAATCAGACAAGTATACCAAGTTATCATTCGATGTCCTTCATTGGATGTAGTTATAATATTTGAAACCAAACAAGTTTAGGTAGTCATAACACATTTTCTTATTCTAAATCTGAAGTCACCATTACATATACTCAATTATCAAGTACACATCAAGTCTTGAATAGAAAAAATGTTTTCATTTCTCAAAGTGGATTGATATCTTAGATATTTTAGGAGTGAGTTTAGTTCAAAAAGCAGAATAAAACTCCAAATTCGACTCCACAATAACATTCAACATAAAATAATATGGAGGGGGACATATTTTGGACCATACCATGCAAACAAATTCAGAGAATATTGCAGTAAAAAAGTGACACAAAGGCACAAAAATCGAATATTCCATTGAAATAATACCATACATATAAAATTGCTAACAGGCTGTTACGAACAGTTTTAAACTAGTTAAAAATGATGGAACTGTATGGTATATAATATTATGTAAGGTACCTACCTACTCCGCGACCTACTCAAAATCTATCTCAATAATTTTATTCGAGACTGTAATATTTATTCATGCTTCAAGCACGGGCTTCAAGAGAGTAGTTCTAAGATTAGAAAACCCTTAGATAAATGGTATTTCGCCAACCTTAAGGAAACACAATATTATGGAATAGATAAAATTCATCATCCTGATTATTTCAAAAGATTCATCTCATTATAACTTTATTTATAATGTCATGTATTTATTTGTGATTCTAACTTGAATTTATCAGGTTTTTCTTTCTGTGGTTTCGAATTGTTTGTGTTTATTTTGATGAATTCTTGTTCTGAGTCTGAAACAAAAAATATGTTGGTTAATCAAATATTTCACCTACGGCCACTATAGAAAGTAGGCAAGAACACACGAGATACAGCTTCAGTAAGTAGCTCTTTACGCACAGCACATCGCATAGTTTTCGTTTATTCCGCCAGTATAGTTATGTCATGATCGCGTAATCGCCGTCAACAGCGGATGACATAACTGTCAAGAATTATAATTCAGACTGTTTGTCCAAACCCTTTTGATGAACTATATGGCAGTTGGTGAAGTATAGTACGTAAAGCATGTTGTAAAGCAATTACGCACTCATGGAATTACGCACTCGCCGCTCTGCGGCTACGTGCGAAACTTTTTCATTCGTTTAAGTTTATGAAAATGTTTAATCTATACTAACAGTCGAAGAGAAACTGAATTTAGGTACTTGATCAATTTCCATTGAAGAGAACTCATTTCAAAATTACTTACTAGACATATAAAACAGTAATTTTTTCACAGATGTGTTTTTTCAGTTCCAGCTATTATTATAATCTGTACAACCCACTGAAATAACTTCTAGGGAGGTCTTATATTATCCTGAGGAAGAAATAGTATGAACTATCCTAGGCACTTCTGTTAATTCTGAAAAATGTAAGTGCATTGCTGTTTGCTGCACAATGATAATTGTTTCTGCGTACCTTGTTTGATCTCTCGAGAATGAAAAAAGTCTTCCCTCTGTCCTGTTCCTCGTCATGTATTGGTTGTAATTGTATGAATAGTTATACCAGTTGGGGATATAAACTGCATACATTTTTTCTATTGAATTTTAAACATAAGCTTGTCAGGAGTAAGCATACCTTTGAAGACATCCATTTCGATGCTTGGTATTACTAGAGTCACTGGATGGTATTAGTTTGATAAGAGTTCGGACACAGAAATGACAACTGTTAGGGTTTTTGAATGTTTAGATTTATTAAGTTACACACCATGCATTGTGACAAGAGCACCATAGTCGTCCCACGCTTCTTCATTCAAAATTGTTTTGACAATTAATTTTGTAAACGTCAGAATTGAAATAAAATTACATAGTTATATACTGTCTGTAGGTTAATCGAGGAGGTGGTACATTCATTTTACTTCCCGAAACGTCCAAAGATAAGTACAAATTCGATATTTTTTCAATATATCTATATTTCTTTCCTTCAAACATTATTTCAAACAAATTGTCACTGACAAGCTACTGGATTTTTCTTTTAGACTCCCTGATAGAAAAATTTGTTAAACGCAGTGACATTTTGGGGCAAATCATCTGATTTGTCCCTCTACAAATATATTGAAATAATACGAATACTTTTATTTTATAGAAACGAGGAGAGAAAATCCCAAAGAACCAAGTAAAATGAATATACATAGTTATACTTTCGAGAAAAAAGCAGCTATGGAAATCACTTGCTGTGTAATTAATTGTGCCAATTATGAAAAAAATGGATATCGTTTATTCAATTTTTCAAATCAAATATCAAGCATTCGCTTATGGAAGGAAGATATGAAACGGCCTGAGTGGAAAATCAATTTGAAGACGAGCGAAATTTGTGAGATTCACTTCTTATAACAGGATCTGATTAGAATGAAATTATAATTTTGGTCCATTTTCAAACAGAAGATTTCAAAATCTGTTTGAGAGAATCTGCTGTTCCATCAATTTACAATGCAGACGATTTCAAGAACAAAATTCCTTTATTCATCACACATAATACAAAACAAAATAATCATGGAAAAATAGGAAATGATCGCATAATCACATAATGAAATTGAAAATTTGAAAACGAAACTAAGAAAAGCAACTAAACTACAACGTGATATATTATTGAATGGCGATTATGGTGCCGACCAAATTCAAAATTCAACAGTGAAAAATAAATGGATATTCATGTATCAAGGGAATTATTTTAAGGGCCTTAATTACGCTGGAGGTTATCGTTTTGGAAATATTTTCTATATGGATCCATGTTAATTAGCTCCTAGGGCGCAAAGTGAAGTTGCTGAGAACTTTACAAAATCAAGTATTTGGTAGGTATCGTCAAAATAAATTATTTTTTTCTATGAAATGTTTATCAAAAAATGATTTGTTCTCTGTATTACAACACCCTGTATCTCCGAAATGAAGCATTTCCGGACACAAGCTTATGTAGACTTTATTTCTTAAAATCGTCTCAGGAATTCTTCACTTGAACGTACTTATGTTACTTCCTGTATATTGAGAATACCTACCTTTGATTTGATATTAATAACTTCATGTTTTATACTTATCACTGGAGTACAGTTTCACATACAATAAGGAATTATAACTATAAGTCTATCCATATGTGTATATTTTCTAATATTAAAATGTTGTGCATGCATTCTTTTCATTTATATAACAGTTGTTCTGTTAGAAATGTATCACTATAAATTGGAGTGGGTTTATGTACCCTATGTATCCATTGTTTATCTACGGCTATGATTGATTTGACAGAAAATATAACCTCTAAAATCGTATCTGACAATCAGGCGCTACTAGGGAAATTGAGAAGACAAAGAGCAGAATATATGTCTTATTCTTTTATTCACTTAAACCATTGTATTATAGAAAATAGAAAAGGACAAAAGTTCAGCTGTGTCCGAACTCTTATCAAACTAATACCATCCAGTGACTCTAGGTATTACTATCAGCAATAACCTTCCTTGGGAAAATCACGTGAGATCAATTGCTATATAAAAGTGCATCCCAAAAACTTGGTTTTCTGTTTCGGGCCAGGAGCTATTTCACTTCCAGTCAGCTGCTTATGATCTATAAGGCACAGATCTGACCTGTCCTGGAATACTGTTCCCATATTTGAAGTGCAGCACCCAAACATAATCTGAAACTGTTGGATTTTGTCCAAAAATGGGCCATTCGTCTCGTGGGTGATGCCTCGCTCACAAACTCACTCACTTCTCTGGAACACCGTAGAAAAGTTGGCGATCTGGCTCTATTTTATAGATATTCTCATGGACGATGCTCTTCTGAAATATCAACAATTGTTCCTCCCTTGGCAGTCCCCGCGAGATCAACCCGTCGAGTTGAGGCTTCGCACTCCTTCGTGGTCATATTGATTGATTGATTGTCTTTATTACCCCAAGAAACATTATTGTTTATAATAGGGATATATACAACAAAACATACATATTATAAAACATAATAAATCGAAACAATAATAATTGCACAATTATTGTTTTTCCTAAAAAAAAAAAAGAATTATAATAAAATATAAAATGAAAATATTATAATCCATTACAAGTAATCAAATTGTGAATGATTAGTACTATTAAATTTTACTGAGCAGATATTTCTTTAATTTCATTTTAAATTTTTCTGCTTCTTCTATATTTTTCAACTCATTAGGTAAGGAGTTATACAAAATTATTCCATTATGGAATATTGATTGTTTACCAAAATTTGACTTATAATTATTTGCTATCAATAAATTGAATTGCCTTGTTTCATGGGCGTGAATCGTATTAACTTCATTAAAATTCAAATTAGATATTTTCAATTCCTTCCTGACAAAATGAATAAAACAACAAATTTTGAGTTCATATAATGAAACTAGATTCAGCAAGTCTTTAGGTTTGTATAGATTCGCAGTTGATTCTAAAAAAGGTAAATTGAAAATGCACTTTATTGTTTTATTTTGTAATTTCATGAGTGGCTTCAAACGTGAAATATTTGTACTTCCCCAAATAGATATTAGATATTGTATATTTGAATAAAAAAGACAGAAATAAATACTCTTTAGGTATTTAACAGGAATGAAATTTCGAATTTTATATATAATACCAGCAATAGGATTCAATTTTTTTCTCAATTGATCTATATGTAGAGTCCACGATAGTTGTTCATCTATATATAGACCTAAAAATTTTGTTACATTTTTATATTCAATGGATTTGTTATTGAAACATATTGGGGTATTATTCAATATATCCGTTTTTCTTTTTGAGATGTACATATACGTAGATTTACTATAATTTAGAGTCAACTTATTGGTCACTAGCAAAGATGATATTTGTTTCAAATCATTTTTAATATCATTATTGATATCGTTGAAATCTTTTGAATTATAAATTATTGTTGTATCATCTGCAAATAATTTTAGTTTTCCTTTCAATTTCAAAGTAGATATTGAGTTGATATAGATTAAAAATAAAATTGGCCCCAAAACTGATCCTTGCGGTACACCACATGTAATATTCATCAAGGAACTACAAGTATTATTCACATCAACATACTGTTTCCTATTCTTCAAATAATTTTGGAACCAATCATGAATTTTGCCTCTGACACCTATTGATGATAATTTAGTCAATAAAATATTATGATTTACAGTGTCAAAGGCCTTACAGAGATCCAGAGACAGAATGCCGCATTTGTCATTGTCATCTATTCGTAACTGAATATCTGAAATGACATCCATCACAGCTACCTCTGTGTCTTTTGACCTACGAAATCCATATTGTTCACTAAACAATAGGCCATTATTTTCAAGATAATTTATTAGACGGTTATTCATAATTTTTTCTAAAATTTTGGAAAAGATCGGGAGAACAGAAATTGGTCTATAATTATTTAAATCATCTTTCTTCCCATTTTTGTGAATTGGTAATACTTTAGCAATTTTCATTTTGTCAGGAATAATACCAGTTTTAAGCGATTTGGAAATTATGTTCAACAAAATAGGAGCTAACTCAAATTTGATTACTTTTACAATCTTAACAGTAATATAATCAAATCCACAGCATTTTCGAACATCCAGATCATCAATGATATTCTCAATTTCTGAAATATTCGTGGGAATTAGGAACATCGATAGAACACTTGAGCAATCTTTCACAGTGTCGGAAATTGTAGTAATTTTTGACGATAAATTTTGGCCTACATTGATGAAATGATTATTGATTTTATTACTCATTTCCTGGAAGTCGTTGATTTGTACATTATTCACAGTAATACATTTAATATTTTCTGTTTTGTTCTTCGTTTTGTTGTATAGGATTGAGTTTATACCATTCCATACTGATTTTGGAGTACCATTAAAAAAAGTATCATCATAAAATTCTTTTTTCGTTTCACGTATTCTCTTTTTCACTAATTTATTATAGAAATTATATTGCTCTTCAAAATATTCTATATTAGGATAGATTTTTTTTTTATAATGAAATTTGTCCCGCAATTTGATCAATTTACTTATAGTACTATTGAACCATGGCTTTGAATCACATTTTAATTTAACCATTTTCGAAACAGTACAATCATGAAAAGTATCCAGTAGTTTTCCATATGCATCATCAAGATTATTATAACTATTGATATTATCATTTAGTATTTCTAATTCAGATTTTAATTTTTCAATATCATATGTATTTATTAACTTGTTAACATATTTTTTATTATTCAATTTTAGTAGTGGTATGTAAGTCAAATAAAATTTATGGTCACTCAATGAATTATTAATGACAAATAACTCTAGATTTTTTTCTGAATTGGTGATACAATAATCTAGCAGTGATGAACTTCTCGTTGGAATAGTCTCATTACAGTTTCTGAAATTACTAGATTTGTAAATGTCTACAAACTCTTTGGACTCATCACTATTCGATAAAAAATTTATATTCATATCTCCAAAGAAAAAACATTCACATTTGAATCTATTGATTGCATCAAGTGTCCCATCCATAAATTCGAGGAAATATTGAATATTTACGTCTTGTGGTCGATAAACGCCACAAAGTATCATATCTGGGGATTTGATTTTGATGGCCAAATATGTTAAAGTTGTTTCTTCTTTTTGAATTATGTCAAAATCTAAACTCTCATGAATGAAAATCCCAACCTCCAGAAATTTCAGAACACCAATTCCTACCTTATTTTCCTTGGTTCTCACGATGTTCTCTAAACATTACAGGATATCCCTTTTCGTGGGTACCAGAACATAAAAAAAAACTATTTTAACCAATCAAAAGAATACTCGAAGATTGCTAAATATATTTTCAAAATTCATTTAAAATCTGACTCAACTAATCGACAGAAATTATTTTCGCGGACCCCATTTTGAGGATTGTACAAATTCGCGCGCGCGCAAAAAAAATTGGATTGGAAAAAGGGAAGCAAGATTCGCTTCTGTTCCTGTTGTGTATCTTCTGTGGTACGATCACATAATAGGCTATCTAATAATCAACATGGCACCTTTTGGCACACATCGATTAGGATCAATAGAGTGGTTCCACCGTGGCAATCTAATTATTTCCTCAGATGATCTGTGATTACAGAACAGAAATTCAGGGATAAAAACAATTCAACAAATATAAATATTCTAATTGTGTGCCAACAGATGTATAGTTGGACAAGTCGTTGGATTGCCTAATTGTTATTTTTGAATATTTGAAAAATACCATCTTTAAATGTGCATATCTAGTTGTTCCTTTGGAAACAGTTATTTGATATAGATTCACTATATTAATTCAGATTATTATCATTCATTCATTCAGTTAAATATTGTCAAAAACATTCAAATTTGGTTTTCCAAATTAATAGTAGTCACCATAACCATACAACTAGACAAGCAGATCATTTTTCTGTCAAGAATATTAAATCAGATATTGGTGAAAAATAAATTTATCACAATGGAATGGTACAATACCATTCACTACCAAATAACTTGAAGCTGATTAATAGGAAAGAAAAATTTGAAAAGGAATCAAAAAAACATCTACTCCTGTAATATTGACATCTTATCTGATTTTTATAGTTTTCTCGTACAATTACCATAGTTTTCCATTGGGTACCTAACAGCTGAGTCAATGTAGAATCATTTTCAGTTGAACTTGAAAAAAAGATTTCTTCTTGAGTGTGAGTCTTGTTTTACTGTCTTCTTTATTTTGTCAAATACATTTATATATTCACCATGTTCCCTGCTATAAACAAATGTTGTTTCTTGGGAATAATAAAGCTGATTGATTGATTGATTGAGTAATGCTCACTTCTCTCATTTTGGTCGCACAAAGCGTTGGTAAAATATGACCAGTTGAGTCTCAACTATTCTACCTAAGAATCATCATTCGAGATATTCGTGTCATCTAATATATCTTTATATTCAACATAGGAGGAGGATGACGCTTTACTAGAATTCAATATAACTAATCAATGGCAATGGCATTATGTGAAATGTCCTCCCGAAAACGAATGCACAAATGGACATCACAGCTGTGTGGCAGAATCTGAAATATGTGTTGATTTGGATGAAGGTTTTGAATGCAGATGTGGCTCAGGCTATAAAGCTGGTTCCAGTGGATGTGAACCTGTTTGTCCATTAGGTATGTATGGTTTATCAATACTTGAATAGCAAATATGTATATACATTTATTTTGTGCACGACTGGGCGATTATAGCCCGATTCAAGTAGCTTTAAGGGATTCAAAGATTCAGCGGGCGTTAATAGTATATTACACACCGAGGTGGGAAGAGATTCATTCCTGTCGTGAGATTAGTTAGTTAACCGAGACGCAAAGCACCGAGGTTAGCTATGATCTCGAGACAGGAATGAAACTTCCTACTGAGGTTTGTATACTATTTTATTTACAACCATCATATTTCGATCAAAATTAATAAACCTCTTGTTTCGTTCTGAACATACCTAAAATATTACAAAAGTGAGGGCGGAAAGTGAGGGCGGGAAGCAGAGGTGTGTAATGTGACACTTCCCAACCTTCAATGACGTTAGTAATGACAACATTACATATTATATGGTTGTAAATAAAATAGCCAAACTCTACCCAAAATAGAAAACAGCAAATGAAATCGAAAACTAAATTCTGATTTGTTTAAGTGACGGCTTTTTGGTATCATTGTTGGTGAGCTTCAACAAATCGAAATTAATTCACGGGCTTGCATTAACATTGTTTCATCTCTTTTTCTCAATGGTATTATGTATCTGCCTACCATCAAAAGTGTAGATATATACCAATAATTGTTTTAATCTATTTCTAAACTTTGAAGCATAAATTGAATAATTACTATTCATCTTAGTACGAATATCAGGAAAAAAAAAAATATATTTGAAGAATTAATTTTTCCACAATAATTATTTTTGCAGCAGAAATTCCTAATTCATCTATTCAAGACTTTTTTACTTGAAACAGTAGGTATTTTCAAGATCTTTGACTTTTTCATCGTATCAATCGCCAGTTGAGATTGCATAAGAAATATCAAGTTCGTAAGTACAGGAAGGGATATATGAGGGATCGGGAATAACTCTATTGGGAATTTTCGCCTGCGGCCACTTTCATTGTTATTATTAGACTTTCATGTTGTGGCTATACGCGCGCGCCTGTTGCCTATATCTGAATTTCGAGGTTAGGGCGCCATTGTTACCTGCACCCCGGCACATGTTAGATCAGAGGCTACTCTGTGAGTTTGATTTTAGCAATCTTTGTAAAAATAGAAGTAACCTATCGTAATAAAAGCTGTTTTGATACGCATTTGTATTTCATGGACAAAATTAACATGGAATTATAGGCGGTTATTCTCTTTACATAACTATTAACTTATCTGTGTATATAAATATTTCTGGATTAAAACTGATTCGAATTCAATAAATGAATTGAAATGTATATTATTGCAATAGAAACTTTTAGCTTCCTGCATGATTCTTGTTTTGAGATTGTTGAAACTATTAACTCCATAAACAGTCATTATAACCAACTATGTACATTGTACATACAGCATTTTTCATTATAGACGGAGAGCTGTCTACATTAAAAAACTTGTCATCGATACAGGGCCGAGTCCTGCTTCAAAAAGATCCCTTGGTGTAGCAAAGTTCAAATCGGGTTTTCTGCCGGCGCAGCCCCGTGGCTTGAAGCGGGGGTGGACGGTCAAATAGGTCAAATTTCGATATTAAAATTTTCAAGATACATGGCTTTCATCAATTCTGAAGAAACGCGGAAAATTGCAAATAGAGCGCTATTCACTAGATCGAGAGTTTTGAAACTGTACCGGTGAGTTATAAATTCTCGTAAATTACCATCCCCTATGACTCTTTTATTTCTCACAATAGATACAAAATTAAAAATGGTTCTACAGGGGAATTTATTCGTATATCTTGAATCAAATGATACGATTTCACTGTCTGTGAAATATACAGGGAACAACAAATAGTATATGAACTTTAAATATAACACCCTTTATATTTCCTCATCATTGCAAATACCTCTCGAAGTGCTCCCCAAAAATACCCCACTCAATATAATTATCTTCTAAATTCCTCAATTCATCTGCATTCAAAACTAAGAGAGTTTGATCGATTTTTTAACGATTTTCATGATAATGTCATGGCAATGATTGTAAATTCAGGTATATTCGCTTTATCGCTACCTATGACATTTAATTCTCATTGATGGTGTTCACAAGACATTTAAATTGTGCGTTATCATTGTCATGGCCTACTCTCAAAATTGATTCAAAATCGTTCAAAAATTCAAAGTGGTATGAATACAAAAAATAAATATACTGATTGGAGTATTTTCGGAAAGCATTTCAAAAGGTAGTGAGGAAATATATAGAGTGTTCAATTTAAAATTCATGCACTTTTTGCTGCTCCCTGTATATTTTTTTATATAATAAAAATATTTCTGTTGATTCTAGAAAAATCCCCTGCGAGACTGTTTTCGAATCTTCTTGTCGAAAATTAGAGTATAGGGGGTGGTTCGTGGTGGTACACTCGTCTTCAGTGATCATGTCGCATATGGACGGTGTCAGCTCCCTTGATCACTGCTGCAATAAGAGCGCTCATATCGTCCAACCGCGACATGTTTGCTGAAGACGAGTGTACTTTGTATAGAGGTTGACGAAAAAAGCTGTTTTTCCACCACTAACTATAAAACCTACCATTATTTACTGTTTTCGAGGCGTAAGGTGTGTTTTTACAACCAAGGTAGTTTTCGTCATTTTATGAACCACTAGTCAATAAACATATGGCCACCTATATTATATTCTACCTGATTCACTGTTCTGATGCGTGTTTTGCATTAATGACACTCGAATCTAGTGGGTATTTAGCAATAACGACTTGTCATTATGCTGTCATGTTTATGGCTATCAGATTATAATTGAAGGGGCAAGTTGAAGAAGTGGTTAAGTAACATTATCTCCAAATATTCGGTTATGTCATGGAAGAAGGTGTTACGTGCATATGTAACTTGCCCTGTCAGGGTTTGTTTCTATTCTTCATATCTGAGTAGATACACAGTGGCAGAAGGGGCTATGTTACACTAAACATCAAGGACGCAATGGAAGAAGGAGCTATGTGCCCATTATCTACATGTCAGGAAATGGAAGAAGGGGTTATGTACGCATGAATCCATATGTATATCAAAAAATGATAGTAAAATGCGGTAAATCATGAAAAAAACAACCTTAAACTGTTCCTCACAATTTCATAAATCAAATTATTAAAATAGCTTTCATTAAAAAATGCCAGCTAACTTTACTTGAACCTATTTTTCTCACATATAACCTCCAGTTACTAAAACCTATTTTTCTCACATATAACCACCAGAAATTCAAGAATAACACCAATTCCTACCTTATTTCCCTTGGTTCTCTCGATGTTCTCTGAACATTACAGGATATACCTTTTCGTGGGAACCAGAACATAAAAAAAAACTCATATGTGTAACATAACTCCTTCCACTTGCCCCTTCAATTAGAATTGAAAAAAAGTGCTTTCATAGTGACAAAAGATTTATATTTCAGTTTCACAGAACTAAAATGATTGAAATGTTTTGCTAGTGGTGACAAAAATTTAGTATACACCTCGGTAGTAAAGAATATTTTTACCACGAGACCTTATAATCTTGGTCGATGGGTGATGCTGATATTCTTTACTACCTTGGTGTATAAATAACTTTAATAATTATAAGCCATCTGATGATTTTTTATTTCAAAATCTTACGCCACTTTTGCTCTGTCTGCCAGCACTTCAGCCATCAACAGATAATTTAATTATAAAAAAAAGTTATTTATACACCATGGTGTATATTTTTTTCACCACTAGCATTACATTTCAATCATTCTAGTTCTGTGAAACTGAAATATGAACCTATTGTCACTATGAGATCATTTCTTTCCAATTCTAATTGAAATCTAGTAGCCATGAACATGACAGCTTAATGATCGTTGTTGATAAATACCTTCTAGATTCGAGTGCCATTAATGCGAATCTTGCATCAGAACAGTTAATTCGCGTTAATTATAACATATGTGTCTATGTCTTTATTGACTAGTGTTTCATATAATGACGAAAACTTCCTTGATGGTATAAACACACTGTACGCCTCGAAAAGGAGTAAATAATGGTAGGTTTGATAGCTAGTGGTGGAAAATAGTACATTGTTTTATAAGGATCAAATTTGACACTTTGTTTGACAAGCGATATTTGTGTTTGCGAGGCGGAGCGTCTGCGAAGCCGAGCACGCAAATTTTGCGAGTCAAACAGAGTCACTTTTGATCCGAATGAAACATGCTATTTTTTCTGCAATCGAAATAGTTGATAGATAATTATTGTTAGTGAAATATAATATTTTGGGTCACTCGAGCATGTCTGTGTCAAAGCAGCTATCATATCAGCTGTCATCCGACACGTTTTCAGTTCCTAGGAGTTAAACTTCAACTTTAGCTCGTAGACACGAAAAATGTTGCCAAACGTCAACTTCAAGATCTAATTTTGGAACACAAGTGGACGACTTTTGAGCCGATTGCAGAAAAAAGCTATTTTCATTATAAGTTATTCAAAAATGGATCCTGAAAGTTATTTATGGAAAAGATTATTTATTTATAACTGAACTACTTTTATAAAAAGAATCCCTTGCATGATAAAATTCCGCGTGATATTAAGAGAATATTATTATTAGAGTTTATTTGTTTCTTTAATTAATATTTGATTTCTATTTCTATCTCTGCTATGAAATTTAAAAAAGTACTAAATTGTATTTAATTCAATGACTGAATGAAAAACAAAGAATACATTTTTATTCATCAATTACTTCTGTCTCGAATTGATCAATTGTGTTGTGGTAGTTAGGGGTTGGTGTACAATGATACTCAAATCTGGTGTAACTTCAAGTATATAGGCAACTTCTCAGCATTTGATGATATAGGCGAACTTTCTTGAATCACGTCTTACTTCATAATAATATCCAACACTCTAAGGGCCGGTTTCATAAAGAAAAATTAATTATACAATCAACTGATGCCACAATAACTTTGATGTTATGTTAAATGTCATTTGCGTTGCATAAACAATCTGATGTTTTAA